ATGGTTGTGTGGCTAGGCTTGCACTGATATTTCTCTACTGAAGAGTTTAATCAAGACATAATTGAGGCAATGCTCTGAACTATGGTCGCAGGTAGCATGGGGTTGACGAGAATTTTCTGGAGCTGTAAGCACTTGTTTCCACATTACACTGCGATGGGTTTGCATGTGGTCAACGAGTTTCTTGCATGTTTCAAAAGTTCCCTGGCAGTTAAACCAGCAGGATTTTGTGTTAACTGAGCTAGTGGTTTTTGCGGCGCTAAAATCAAGAATGCCGCTGTTGATGGTGGAGCATATAATTGGCGTAGAATGTCTGCTGGCGGTTTTGACGTTATGGTGAATCATATTGTCCTGTAGGCGCTTGTGGCTGAAAAGGCTCATGCGCTGTCTGAGCGTTAGAATGCGTTGTGAAGAGACGAGGCATGCGCTAAAATTAAAATAGTTTGTCTAACACTAGGCAGGGAGTTTTCAAGTGACCAACGGTGCCACATTGCGGTTGAATCCAGATTACTAATGACAGCATAAAAGAAATTGGAATTTTTTAAAAAATAAAAAAAAGTTGTAGTCGATGCTGCATGCGACGATTTTAGTGGAGGCTTTTCGTGAGATGATATCACTGCATTTATATACTGTTGTCGTAATTTTTTACGGATTCGCACTTCGCAGTATTCAGCATGTAATAATTCACGAGAAATATATAGTCAGTTTCTACCTGGAATAATCCCAAAGGTGTTCACATACGATGCCAATTTGTGTGGATAATGGACCGCTCGGTAGAATCCTTATTTGGATCCCAGATCAGCAAGCGTAAACCCTATCTATGTGTAATGCAGGACTAGGTGTAATAAAGAGTATGCACTCTGGGCAATACATCAGAAATAAAATATATATAATCAATAAGGATTAAAAAAGTGCGAAAATCATTAGATTATTTGAACAAGTTCTGGGACCCAAACTAGGGTCGCACCGGCCGCTAATTGTTGTAGAAAATTAAATCGAACAGAATTCAAACGACAAGGTGGTCCGGTTTGAGCCCATTGGTTAGTGAGAAACTTCAAGCGATTGCCGCATTTTCAGTGACGCATGCCATCATCCCGTCTTACACGCATCTTAAATTGTGGGTTGCTCCCGGCATCAACATTCAGCACTATTTTTCAATTAATTACGCTTCACCTCTTTAGTGGCTTTTGACAACTAAAAACATGTGGTGAAATAACTGTCCACATTTACCGATAATTGTTCCAGTGTTAGCGGACTGCGCGACTATGATGTCTATTGTTTCACTGTGCTTTTTAAATGTGCCTGTTCAACCAGAAGTGGTATAGGCTCCTCGTCCATGTTTATTCGATTGTCTGAGATGCAAAACATGATATTTATCGTGTTGTTAATAAGAAAGAAAAGTTCTTTTTGTGGTAACAACAAGATTGCCGATTCTCCTTAATTCTGTTGACTTGCGCCATTCCTATATTCGCTGTGTCATTTGTGCACGAATATTTTTAATCACATCATCCGAGTAAGCATGTAAGGAATAAGGTCATCAAAGGTTCAGCTGCAAACGTCCTAGCAACTAGACATAATCAATTATGCCGACGATGCCTTAAAAGAAGCAAGGGACAAGCATTTTCTGCGTCCTCGAAACCGTCACTGTCAGTCATCAAAAAACTTGCTATATCGTGCTATTTACGTCCTCTGACCTGCTTAGGAGAAGGCCATTGTCACTCAGGCCCGGGCGAATTTTATTTTACATAATTAGGCAATTCCAGCCCAGTGTTACGATCACAGGTGGTTCTTGACAGACAGAACGTCCATCTCACGACATCTTTCTCGACGGCAAAAAATAAATCCTGTGTGTTACTGCTTCGTCTAGGAACTCCTCGACTGGGAAATTGATTCAGAACTTTCCCCTACCCATAGGAAGATTGCGTCTCGCTGGGAGTCACGCTTTCCACCGAGTATCGTGCATAGTTCCAGGTGACCGTAAGTGCCCATATGTGTGTGCAGTTGGCTACTGCATTGCATGAGCGCAAACGAACATTCCTAGCTGCCAAACGAAACTGACACCCTCCGGAAGTCTGCTGGAAGGATGACGTTCAGTGGGGGATTGCCTTTTGTTATATGCAATACGGCTGAGAATTTGTGCAACATGCCGAAATTTGCAAAAGACTGACACTCACTCGCTAATGTGCACTGAGTAAGGTTTAAATGCTGACTATCGTTAAGCCTTTTCTTAAGTCTTTCAGTCTAAATAGCATGCCGGCTTTTCAAAAAGCTTCTTTCTGACTGCCAACAAAACGAGTGTGATGCAGTTAATGGCCATTTAAGTAGTAGGTATTTGTATTATTGTTTTTAAGTGCCTTTATGAATTAAAATGTATTTTATGGGATAAATGCACGAAGACATCTTTCTTGCACAACTTATGTAGGAAATTGTGCATTCCTTCAATATTATACTTAAATACAAGGTATGTTTCGGTTTTAGAAAAAAAACTTTTATACTTATGAGTTTTTTAAACTATTTTCAAGGGTTCATCCAAAATGCATCGTATTTGTTAATTCACTAATGCTGCCTACTATGTATAGAGCACATCTCACATCTATAGCAACAGTTCATGAGAATTATATGTGTCCTTTCTGAATCCGTAGGCAAAAATGTGCTTTTCACGAAACAGGATGTAGACAACGCGCAGGTTGTTACACTTGTCCTCAGTTGAAGCAGTCAGTATGCTTCGAAAATAATAGGCAATTTGGACAATTTTTGCACTGAGACATGCCCTTTTTGCGTAAGAAATTTAAAGCTGGTGTGGTTTGCTGTCAGCCGAATGTAAGAAAGAATCGTTTGTACGTATTTTACAAAATATACTTGAAGTTGAAACATTTTTTCCCAGGACGAAATTTGTAACAAGCATATACGGCAGAATTTATTTGACCAAACCAATTTCGTGACTGCACATCACCTGCAGCCTGTCTTTGCATAGGATGAATAAAAAGTGAATAAAAGCACAATTTGAATATCAACAAAATCACGAAATTTTTTGATGAATAACTCCTGGTGTTAAAAAAATACTTGAATTTATAATGGCTATCAAAATAACTGATAAAATGCAAACTATTTAAGATGACAATGTGTACAGTACTTGCGTTTTATGAGCGGCCACAAATAGGCTCGGTAGGAAGCAGACACCCATTAGAGACTGAAATCATTTCAGAAAAGACTACATGATAATAAGTACTAAAACCTTACTCAGTACCGATTAGTAAGCGAGTATTAATCTTTCGCAAATGTCGGCATGTTGCACGAATTCCGGGGCGTATTCCATATTCAACCGCCTACTCTGACTTAACGATTCATGGTCAAGTTTGCCAACGAAATGCTTCAGTGATATTGGCCTAGGGCGCCTTCCAGTCCCTGCTCACTACAGAAAAAAAACAAAACAGAAAAAAAGCTTTTGCAGTCAAATTTTCAAATATGCAAATTTCCAAATTTCCAAATTTGCCAAAAAAGCGAACATACGAGTCTCAGGAAGTAATTGAGAATAGGATGATTCGATGGCTGGGACAATACTTTTATTCGCCTGACGTTTCAATATTAATCGCGAATTCTTTATCAGACACATATTCAGAGAGTAATAGCAGATAGGGAAGCACATTCGCAGGAGTTGACAGTATTTATAGGATACGGTAATTGGTGCAAACCTACCACGACAGTTAGCCGTAATTGACTTCTTGAGTGCTGGTGGTCTTCTGAACGGCATGCGGGCTCCTACCTGCTGACATTTCATCAGGTGTGGTGGGCTCGGGCGTAATGATTGCCCAGTCATCTTGCCCTCTGGTACAGCTGTAGGATAAGGCAGCGGCCTGCCCGTTCCCCAACAGGCGATTTGCTTTGGCCAACTTGAATCTCAGCACCAAATATGGATTGGGCAAATCGTTACATTTGTAAGGAATTGGAGTCCCGTGTACCATGACACATGTAATTCTTAGCTCAACCGTTTTTCGGCTCGTCAAATTTAAATGGGTGGCCGTGTCCCGTCAAATGAGCCGCAACTTGCGAAGTGGCATCATTTTCCGCATTGTTTGGCAATTCGCTGTTGTATGTCAGTACTTACATCGTGTTTGTTACTTTCCTGAATACTTTAGTCTTTAGTTCACCACATTCTTTGTGACAAAGAAAGATAGCGGGGATGGCCAGCTGGTTGTTCTCTTCCTCCATCATTGTAAATGCGCTGTCCGGAAAGACACTGTTGAGGCGTTTCTTGAACATGAGCATCTGATCCCGTTCGACGAAGACGAAGATGTCATCCACATACCGCGCCCAGAATTTCGATCTGTCCTGTTGGAAGTGCAGCGACT